AATTTCCAGGTGTTCAATTCTCACCTGGGTTCCTTCAATGTTAGGTGAACAAAGGTGCCTTCTTCAAAGGGATTCACCCCACCCTACCCCACCCCAAACATATCCAGGCCCTAGACTGTTCCAGAAAGCTTCATTCTAGAAACCTAAGGTCTTAACTCTAATGTTTTCCCCTAAATGTCTATAGTACAATGTATTAGTGTGTATGGAATTTAATTGCATGCTTAAACCTCTACGCTGCACTGTAATGGATAAGAGGGGGAAAAGGGAATACCATTAAGTAAGCCAGAGGGAGTAGGGAAAAATGCCATAAGACAGGGATTTAGTCTTTGATGGGCAAAATCTGTCCACCTTAGGGTGATGATGATTGAACATACACAGGATGCAGCTAAGCAGAGAGTAGTCTTTATGGTGATTATGGACATACTAAAGGGAACGTTCCCCTAGGTGTAAGGTAAGACAAGATCGAATGGAAAAGGTACCATATTCAGAAAGAGAAAATGGATTCAAATTCTACCTCTGACCTGTATTAGCCATGTGATCTTAGGCCTACCTCATAGGATCATTTTGAGGAAAGTACTTTGTAAATCTTCAAACACTTCATAATTGTGAGTTACTATGGTGTTTCAGGGTGCCCAAGGCAGTTTGGCTTGGGGATCCAGAATTTAACTGTACATTTCAGTAGCTCACCAGATCCATTTGCTGTCAGGCTTGTGTTTCAGTCAACAAACGTGAACCTGATGGAACAAGCTGCCATGCCTCACCTTCTTAGCCCCATAGACAAGGTTCTCACCTACTCTCTGACACAAATTCTGTGGGCCTCAGTTTCCTCAGCAGTAAAATGAAGAGGTAGGACTGGATAGCCACAGAGATCCTGTACAATTGTGAATCTATGATCCTGTAATACACTTATTCTGGATAATGAGACGTACAAAGGATATTGGCAATATTACTTTTATTCTGTAGGCCAATCCTTTTTGTTTGCAGTGCCACAAATCGGCTATTTTTCATAAAGACAAAAGAAAATTGCAGTTGATTGCAAAAATTTCCTCACCTGACAAAGTACCACCATTATCTGCCCAGAATGAACTGGGAAAATAAAGACACTCTAACAGATATGCATTTGACATATTATAGCAAGAAAGCCATTTTCTCGGTTCCCTTTACAATTTACTTGAAGCAAAACTTAATCTGATTAAGCTCTATTTTTCTGGTTCATATGACAATCTAATTAATACCCTAGGTCCTGGCCCAGTTATTATGACAAACTACAGCACTGTTTTCTAAATACCTCTCAACTTACATCATGCTTTCCAAAATGAACGTGCGTAAGAATGATAAAGCACAAATGCTAAATATTCAAGTGTCTGAATTGGAAATATTACACAATAATAAACACAAGCTAAAAAAGACTAACACCCACCCCTCAACATCATTTATTTAGCCATTCCACAAATGCTTAATGAATGCTTACCACTGAGTGCTCAAACCTAGGATGTCATTCTCACTCTCTCCATTTCTGTCCAACTTTCTCAACTACAATGCACTTTTCCCTCAGGGCAAGAACCACTTTCATTCATATTATTTTCTTTTGTCTCTAGCACAAATACTATGCCATTCCATATATTATCTGATTACCAAGAAAAGTGAAAGCACCTCTCAAAAATAAAGCCTCTAGGAGCTTCCCAATGAAAAGCTGAGTGAATGAGGGTTACTTTTCTCTGTCCTTTCAAAGAAGCCAATATTAAAAAAGAGAAATCCATTGATTCTAGTCATGTTATCTAGCTGTGTGACCTTGGACAAGTTATTTGTCTTCTATAGGATTCAGTTACCTTATCTACAAAATGAGAAAGTAGGCCTAGGCTGGCCTAAAGCAGGGATTCTTAATCGCGGGTCCACACACCACTCTGTGGGTAGATTTAAGAGAGTCCATGGTCTTGATGGGGAAAGAAAATTACAAATTTATTTTCACTAACTTTTAATTGAAACTTAACATTTGCTTCAATGATTTTTTTAGACTATATTAAGGGATCCATTGGCTTCTCCAGACTGTCTAAAGGTCCAGGACACAAAAAAGGTTAAGATTCCCTGGCCTAGACCACTAAGGTTCCTATAACTTCAGCACTTCACAGATTAGTGGTTTTGTCCTCTATCTATATTCCAAAAGCCCCTCCTTAATTTAATACTTTCTTCCAGAGTGGTAGAAAAATTCATTATTCAGCCACCAGGCTGATGATAAACCTTCTGACCTTTGTTGGGTTGACCCTAGGATCAGTCTGTCAATGGGCCAATACTCAATGCCCTTCTACCCAGGTAGGACTAGCTCTACTGGCAGAGCCTAGAAGAGCCCAGGGTTAGTTCTATAGCAAGATAAGGCAGTAGCAGGTCTTAGTAAACTAAGCTCCCTTTAAGTATTACAATTCTTTGACTAAATCTAGAGTGAACTTTGAAATCATAAGGACTCAGAAGTTTCTAAAGACTTGAATGAATATATTCCTTCTCTGCTTTCTTTTCTTCTACAATGGCTCCTATTTTCACTTGAAAGAAAAGTTAAAGGCATGCAAGAATATGTAATGGATAATAAAATGACACCTAAGGGTCAGAAGAGTCAAACATTTTTAAGGTTCACAAACTCCACTCCTCCTCCTGAGACATTATAGAAACCAATGTTTTGCTGGGCACACGAATGCTTCTGCTTAAAAATAAAGGCACCACGATTTCTTTTACTGATGCTATTTCCCAATTTTTCTAAAACAGCTCTGCTAACCCTTACCCTATTGCCTCCAGCCTCCACCTCCTCAAGCCAGAAATGTTTTAAAACCCTTACTTGCTACCCAAGTAGAGGGAGTCACTTTCCCTTCCAAAGATTTATCTCCCCAGACCTTTTTATGGTTGGAGGAAAAATACCATTGGAGCTAGCATCTGAGGACCTGGGTTTTAATCCCACTGTGGGATCTTGGTTTTCCTATCTATAAAACAAGGATAAGACTAGATGACCTCTAAGAATGATGCAGAATTGGGGGAAAATAACAGGTCTGAGGTGGTCATATCATATGGCTAAAACCACCATGTGCATCCTTCTAACAGTAACAGCTACTACTGGAACAAATTTCAAGGCCCAAACACTCTTCAATAGCTCAAAAGACCTAAAATTTCACCATTGTGAGACTTCACTCACACATACCTCAAAACCTGCCTTTTTTTCCATACACTTTCTTTACTGGATGTGGCCAAAAAAAGTAAAAGAAAATAAAAATTATCAGCTGGAAACCAAACTTCTCTACACATCAGGCTGGTCAGATGACGGACAGAAGGCATCCTCCATACAAGAACTCAAAGCCTTTCCGACTTGAGAATAACTGCCAATATGCACTCTATTGTCATAATTAATGAGAATCTAAGGTCACCTCCAAAGCCACAATGGGACATCATGGTTGGACTTGACCCGGAGGATTCAAATATTATAAACTTTTAAAATTCCGAGACTCACGACTAGCTAGTTGTATGTATGTGTATATATGTATGTGTGTGTATACATATATATATGTGTGTGTGTGTGTGTATATATATATTTATACACAGATATATGTCTTACCCACATATACATAATTGTGTATATATACACACATATACTTATATATGTCTTACATATAAAAAGTATACTTAGAAATACACTACCTTATTTAACTTATACTACTCCTAAGTCTCTTATGTTATATTGCCTGGCCCATAGTAAGTACTTTAAAAATGCTTGCTGATTGACTTGCAAAGATCTTCATTCAAGGTCCTTCCCTTAGCTAGACCAAGACCAGCTACAAAATCAGTCTGGATTCATTGCCCAGACAAGCATCTGTCTCCTATGTTTATGTAAATGTCTTTCATTTAAAAACAGACTGGCTCCTTACTGATAAAAAGCAAATAGACCCCTGCCTGACACACCATTTTGACCTGAGTTAAAAATCTGGAGAGATTCCTTAAACTGGTTCCTTCCAAATACCCTCATTAGAGGAAATGGCACAAGCAGTAACAGGTAGGACCATAATTCCAAATTATATCAAATTCTAATATTTATTCTAAAAATATAATTGTACTATTTATTGATTCACAGAAGTTGAGTCAGAGTAGACTCCAGCAACCATTTGGTTCAACCCACACACTAAAGGAATCTTTAAACAAATGGTCATCTAGGCTCTACTTGAACACCTCTGATCAGGAACCAACCACCTCCCAAAGCAGCGTAATTCACTCTAACTAGCATGCTAGGAAGTTTCTCTTCACATTAAATCTAAATTGGCTTCTTCCCCCCCCCCCCCCCCCCCGCCCCCCAACTTCCTGCTCCTCCTGGAGCCAAATAGAGCAAATCTAATCCTTTCTCCACATAGAAAGCAATTTAAAATTAAGCTTAAAAAAAAAAGATTGAAATGGCCGATTGAAATAGCCATACTCTTTGACCAGAAATCTGTTAAACATATACCCCAAGGAAATGAGAGACTAAAAGGAAGGTCCCATGTACAGCAAAATATTTATATTTTTATAGTAGTAAATGTTAAAGTAGACACTCACCAACTGCAGAAATGGCTAGACAAATTGTGGTACATGAGGGTCATGGAATATTACTTTGCATTGTGATGAACATGAAGAAGTACGGAAAATTTTATATAAATTGACAAGGTGAAGCAAGCAAAAAGAGGGAAACAATGTATAAAATCTAAACAAAAATGTGAATGACAATATTTTTAAAAATCAAAACTGTGTGCTATATAATGAAGATATCAAATCTGTGCTTCAAGAAGAGATGAGAAAATGTATTTCCCTCTCTTCTCTGCAGAAGTAGGGGACAAATGGCATGAAAAAGGGTATATACCATCAGACACTGTTGATGCATTGGTAACTTTTGCATAACTTTCTTTTCAAATTTTGTTATAAGGGATTGTTCACTGGGTAGGGGATGAGGAAGCGATATTTAGAAACAAAAGTGGTATAAAAACCAAAAGATACTGAAATTGTTTTAAAAGATATTCTTATGCTTAAAACACATCACAAGGCATTTGGAAAGCAGTTACGATGCTTTAATTCACTCCAGACATTTCTAACAACATTTCTCCAAGTCATAAACACTTTAATATATCCCTGTACAGTTATGAAACAAAGTTGTTGCTGTTTTCCTATTGAGTACTGTTATAGTACCAGGATCCCTTTTTAACTCATTAAGGACTTTTTTTAAAATATAAATACTATAATGAACCACTGATTAGATATAAATACAGCAGTTAAGTGCATATGCTGCTAGAAAGTTTAAACAGTAGAAAAATTTAAGAAAGGTTAAATTCTTTAACAGCTTACATACAATTCTGTACTTTACACATGAGACAAGGCAACTGGAAAGATACAAGTCTTTTTACCTATACAAGAATTTTAGTTCTGCATAAAGAATAACACAGAGACAACAAATTACAGTAAGATCACAGTTGCTTTGGATGGCATTACACTCCAATTACACCCAATTTATCTCATTCCTAAAGCTGTCAAAATTCAAACTGTGGTTTTCGTCTTTGGTGGGAAAATGAACTGAGCTTTCAAATTGAAGACCAAAATATGACTGTTTTTAATAAAGTGATGGGAAGTGCCACCATGTTGGTTAGGACAATGGGAAGCCAAATTTACATAGCATTGGGCTATATACAAATGTCAAAGATTTTACTAGATATTCAGTGGTTTTATTCAGAGCAGTTGATGTAACTCCATTTCTACAGTACACAATGCATTAGTGATTCTCTTTTTATACCACTGAATACTAAATATGTAACATACCCAGAAATCAAATAGCAAATTACTCTGTGCTACTAGCCTTCTGATTGAGTTTTTAAACAAAATCAAATTTAGCAGTCCACACTATTTCAGCCTGACTGCTCAAAGGCTAGAAAGAATCCTTGCACATCTAGTCCAATTTTTATTCTATTACTAAATATCCCCAACTAATTGCATGTTGAAAGCTGGGAACAGTTTATATCCAAATCTACCTGCCAATCAACTGTAGTCACAGCTAGTCTTTTCACTGATATTAGACTGGAGAAAATAAATCCACAGTTCATAATTAAATCCAGTAGTGAAATTTCCAATGATATACACTAAATAAGCTTCAAAGTGCCACCACAAATATATTTCCCTCCGTTGTGATTGTATTCCTTTCCTTCTATGGTCAGCAGAAATGAAATCACATGGGGACACAGGTGTAGAAAATGGCAGGGGGTGATGATGCTGTGATCAATATTAAGTATCAGGCATGCATAGTAATTACCTTCCTTAGGTGTTTCATCTCTTTCTTTACATTTCTATTTACAAGCCATAGTATGCATAAAGCATTTAGTAATGTTCAAACCAAGGATGTTTACATTTTGACCTGTTTTTTCAGGGGAGGAGGGGAGAAGCAGAAGGCGGCAACATACGCTCTTCCCTTTCCTTTCTATATGGTGATATTGAAATGTCCCTTTCCTCACTCCACCTTTTGTAACTTGCCATATACATGGCAGATTTGAATTACAAAGTTGGCGAACAATTTCTGGAGAAGCACCAAAATTAAAAAATGGTGATTTTATGATAAACAAGGGCCTATCCCCACTCTCATAGCGTGCCATAGTTGGAGATCTTTTAATAAAGAACATTGATGTAAAATAAACTCAGAGGGTATAAAGCTCTTGAGGATATTCTTGAGGATAATTGAGTTTTTTTCCTTTCTTGGTCTAAAAAAAATATCTTACATCTTTCAAAGGAGTCAAAAAAGTCTCTTACTCCTTTAAGCAGCTGAACCAAGCTTTTCACACCATACAAGAGAAATGCAATGTTTTTTCCTGTTTATTATCAGTAACAAATGAGAGAACCAAAAATTTTGTTTTCTTAAAATCACTGTAAGAATAGATGTTTCAATTCCAACAGGAAGTTGATATTGGGGCAGTGGTGGGGAAAGGGTAAGTGGGTCAGAAAGGGAACAAATTTTGGCTACATTTTCCCCAAAAGCATCATTTCATTTAAATGTCATAAAACCAAATTGGTTGAATAAATTTGAATTGCTTGAGTTTTGCTAACTCACAGCTTAACATATTTAAATGGAAAGAGTTATATGAACAATGTATAAACAAAAACATACAGGGACGCGCACAATTTAAAATGGTAGTAAGCAACAGTTTTGTTCATTGGTAGAGCAGATATTTTTCTTATAGAAAATCAGGCTGCAAATGAATAACATTTTGCTCCCTTTCTACAGTAAGCACAGACCCAGCAAATTCCTTTCACTCTGTCTAGTCAAGGTCCTATCCTGAGGTCACAGCTATTTTCAAAGACTGGTAAAATTAAGCCTCTCCTCCCTAGAGGACACATAACGAGAACTTGATAGGTCTCCAAGTATCTTTTCCTTATCAACTGGAGGCCACATCTGGTCAGAGCTAAGGCAGCATTTTTTTTTCTCAGACCTTTAGAGAAGTCAGTTTAGTAGGCCCTTTCCTGACATTCTCCCCAATTCTAGAAGCACACTTCTATTAGTTAGGATTTTAAATGAGTAAATGCTTGATTTGATGGGCTGACCCACTGGAAGGATTTCTCAAGTTCATTTTTTTTTTTTAATATCTTCACCATTCAAACCTGTTATTTTCATTCTCTAATTGCCTTAATTTTTTAGTCACTCACTGTTCCTGGTTTTGATATGCTCCCACCACATGAGAATTAAACTGGACAACAATAATGGTGATGTCGTCCCTATACATCCGAGCAAGCTCCTCAGGAAGACTGAGCATTTTGGAGAGGCGCTCGTGATCAACAGCCCCAAACTCATTATTGCCAACAGCATGACGAATGAGATGGGTGGCTGCATTTTGATCTTCAAATGCAGAGGAGATCTTGGCTCTCCTTTCTGCTAAGAGACCATGCATCTGTCCCAGAGTTACCTTGTAACCACCGACGGAGATAGGACTTTGCTGATGAACTCCAGTCAGGTACTCGCCTACTATTTTAACCACATCCTGCCTGTGCATGGTCTCCCACAGACCATCGGTCGCCAGCACCAGAAACTTATCCTGTGGCCTTAACCTGTGGTATATTACTTCTGGCTCAGCAGTGAGATATGGAGGGGTATAATAATTGGGGGGGATAAACTTGGTATACTCATTGTCATTCAACTGATCTGGGCCTGATTCTATCACCCTCTTCTGAAGTTCAATGCTCCACTTGAACTTGACATCTCCGAATGCCCGGAATGGCATCAGCAAACCCAGTAACCGGTCCTGCTTCACAACGCTTTTGGCCTCAGCCTTGGGATGCTCCAGTTTTAGCCTTTCCACTTCACTTTCATTCTGTGCATTATGGTCATTGGAAAGGGTGACTGCCGACCATGAGCCATCTTCTTCCTGTACCCCCAGCATGGCCCGGCTGTCCCCGGTATTGGCCACATGCAGGTCAACCCCATCCACATGGGCCACACAAGCAGTGGCCCCTGAGAAGGCCACTCGCAGCACCAGGTAGTTGAGGAAAGAGTTGGGATCCCCTACTTGTGCTTCTAGAGAGATGTCATTATCAAGCCTCTTGAAGGCATTAATCAAAGCCTCCTTGACATCAGTGGTTTCCCCCGTGTTCAGGTCTATGAGCTCTTGCCAGTAAGTCCTTAAACTGTTGAAATAAAGTTTGGATGCCTCTCTACTGAAATAATCGTTGGGGTGCTTGTGCCACTGCAGGATGGGTAGAAGGGCTCGGCCGCTCTCCACGGCATTTTCTATCTCTAATAAGGTCTCATGGGGCAACAAAGAAACCGCAATGTAGTAAAAAAGCCTTTCGCTGACTGCCTGAGAGCAGGCACATCCCGCATGACCATCAAACACCCCCAAAAGCATCCCCCTTGTCTGCAAGCAAGTTGCTGCACTCCTGCGGTCCTCGATGGGGGCGTTGGCAGGCAGCTGATTGCTGTCAAATCCAAGAACAGAACTTACATTTTTGCCGTCAAACTCAGGTACCTTAAAACTGTACTCGTTGGCTTTTAGGATACTGTTGACCTGTGGAGGTGTGAGGTAAAATCTCTGAGGGGTGGTAGCGTATCTCCTCGTGTGGGTATACTGCCAGAAGTGATCCTTTGGCCGGCAGAAAGTCGAGAATGCCTTCTGAGGGGTGTATCTCAGGCGACTGAGAGGGAAGGGAGGTGGGGAGCAGCACAGGTGTGAGTGGTGGCAGTAGCATGCAGTGCCACAGATACGGCTGAGCTCACAGTTACGGATGAGGGGGAAAAGCAGCTGAGTCGGCGCCGACATGGCATCAGAGTATAGGGGCAGGCTGGAACTTCTGACCGGGATTCCTAGACAACAAATGAAACAAATGCAAAGAAAAAAAAACAACATACATATTTGATTAGAGAAATGAACTTGCATACCTCTGGCAAGCATTATTTCCACAAGGTTTATCCTATAAGTATGGCTAAAGGCAACTTTCTAAATGTCTCGCTGTTGTTGTTCAATCATGTCCGACTCTTCGTGACCCCACCTGGGGTTTCCCTGGCAAAGATAATGGAGTGGTTTGCTATTTCCTTCTCCAGTTCATATTACACATGAGGAAACTGAGGCAAATGGGGTTTAGTGACTTGCCCAGGGTCACAAAGCTAGAAAGTGCCTGTAGCCAGATTTGAACTCGGGAACATGAGTCTTCCTGACTCCAGGCCCAGCATTCTATCCACTGTACTACCTAGCGGCCCTTCTAAACTCTTGGCTTTCTTTAAATCTCAACTAGGGTATTCTCTCCTTCTGATTGCCTCCAGCTGCTACAGCTCTCTCTCTAACCAAATTACCTTATATTTACATGTTGTATCCCCCCAGTAAGCAACTTGAGGGCAAGGACTGTTGTTTTAGCATACCACACCCCCCCCCCCCCCCCAGCACCTAGGTGAATCTTGCAAATAGCAGTTTACCTTGTATATGCTCATAGATAGATAAACACATACACACATGTAGGTGTATTAACTCCCATGAGAGAATGTATGCAGGGACCGGTTCTTTGGATCCCTAGAATTTAGCACAGTGTTTCATGTACAGCAAGCACTGAATCAACGCTTGTTGACTGATAGTAATACTTATTAAATATTTCTTGAACTGAATTTAAAAGCCAATTACCCAGTTATAGAAATCTTTCAATAAAATCCTATTTGAGGATCTCATTTTGGCACAGAAGTGTTCTTAAAGGTTTTGTGCCAGTAGGACCTCAGGTAGATTTTACCAAGCTAAAAGGGCTTCAAATCTGGAACTGGGGGCAGACAGTAAGAACCTGTCTAGATAAGTTGAATTTACCTTCATTAATAAAAGGTTCGCTACCAGCTGAATTTCTGCAAAAATCAAGAAACCCACTTGCTAACATGAAGATGGGCTGTAATCAACATTGGTGGAAAGTATGCAAACCAAACCACAGATTCTTTCAATACTTAAAAACAATATATTACACAGGAGCTAAAATTCTCCCTTCTAGTGGCCATCTGACTGCTCAATACGGCTTCTGAAATAAGCACAAAAGAAGGATAGACTGGGGATAGAGTGGGGATAGGAAGGAAGAGAAGCTTAGCTCATTTGGCTACTCATTACCAGCTCTGTTTAGTGAGCTGGTGAAAGAGAGGGTAAAACTATTTGTTGAAATGAGACTGTGGTTATCCACAGGCTTCACTGATGTGTGCTGTCCTCATTCCTCATGATAAAGGGTTCCAGAACATGTAAACAGCCTGTTATCGATGTGAAGAACAGTTTCTGTTTTGGAATTTAATTCTCCTGCTAAAAGAGTCCCAGTTTGTCATTTCTAATATTTTATTTTTCCTCCACAGTGGATGGCAACATTAAAAAAAGTTCTCTTTCTCAGCTCCTTAATAAAAAACCATACCTCACTGTGTCAGGGTAGTTGGTGCTCTGACACAAATACAGTGCTCTAACACTTCAGGAGGAAATGTCTAGAATTATCACATATTAAAGTTAGGATTTACTATCAATCAGTATACACAGTCCAAGCAAAATATTCAACATTTATCTAGAAATGCAACAAATGCAGAGTCCTAATGTGGGGTAATTCATGCAAGACGGGGGAAAATTATGTTCCTTTTCCTAGACAGCAGGCATTTCTGCATTAATTATCCAGGTAAATGTTTTAAGTAATTGCCTTGCCTCTCCTTCACCTGGTGGGTACGGACACTGACTTAGAAAATAACAAAGGGAGGGGAGGAAGGACGATAAAATACTGTCTAATTCATTTCTCTGACATCCCTGTAAGAAATTAAACATGATATAAAGGAAAAAAGTGAGGTGCACTAAACTCCATGTCCTTTTTTTTTTGAAGGGTAGATTTAACAAGAAGTGACAAGTGGAAATAAAACTCTGAACAATCAATCCTTTTTTCTAACAGATCAAGCAATGAAACTGCTCAAAAAGCCTTTTACAAGGGTTAGAGATCACCCTATATTTGATGTCAGTGACTAAGAATGGCTACATTTCTAGAAAATGAAAATGAAATCAGAATGGATGGTTAGAATTTTAGGAACAAGAACAGGTGACTCAACAGTGCTGACTGACTGCAGCCCTGAAATACAGTATTTCAGATGGAACAATCAAAGAACGTCATACTTCAGGCCTAACAACTAAAAGCCCTCCAAAATGTACTTGAAAGTCAACCAAAGGTTAAACCGATATGACTTGAGCCAAGAGATGTACCCAATGTAGTTAGACCACATGCTATTGGCCTGCATCCACCCTGCATGTTTTTTCAGTTTAGATTTGCAGTGTAGAAATCTTAGTGAACTCAACCTGAGAGCATTCCATTATACAAATATTTTTCTGAAGTTACATTAAAAACAAAATTTTAATTTAAAAATAAGAAAAATTTTTCTTGATGATCTAAATCTAGGGTTCAAATATCATTGACACTCTTCCCCCAAGGGCTCTGTGGATGGATTTTGGGGGGGGGGTCTATGAACTTGGGGAGAAAAATCTCATCTTTATTTTCACTAACCTTTGATTTCCTTGGTAATTGCATGTATTTTATTTTATGCACTTAAAAACATTATCCTGGAAAGAGGTCCATTAGCTTCACCCGATTCCCAACAAGGTCTATGACATAAAAAAAAGGCTAAGGACCCCCTGATCTAAGTAGAGAAGCAGTTTACACCTGTTCAAACTTGTCAGCTTAAGATTTTTTTCAGAAAGCCAAAAAAAAAAAAAGACATTTCAATTAAGAGAAAATCAAGTTCCATTTGGTTTTTGCTAGACAGAGAGAAAACAGGATTTGGTTGAATTGTTGTCTTGTCTCCAGGAAAACATCACCCTGATAACAACTGTCTTATTTTTTAGGCAGTTTTATCCAGTTGGTAGCAAAATGATCAAAATCTCACAACATAGATGAAATTGCGTGGTAGTCTGATCTATGCATCTGAGCAGCAGGTGGGTTTCATACAATATTCAAATAGCAAATATCTCTAAGACTCCTCTGCTGAAAACCACAATTCCCTTAAGATTTAACTTTAAAAATTATAAATTTCAGCACAAGTCCTTTTATTCAAGCAACCTATTTAATGGGATTATGCCTCAGTTTCCTCCGACAGCCTAACAACTATTACATCCTTCTAAAAGAGAAATGATGGGGAAGAAGTGGTAATAAATGAAAGCCCACTCCTATGAGCCACTATGCTAGGCTGTCATGTGATCTGTTTCCTTCATCAGTCTGAAGTTTTGAATTGATGTCACAGACACTAAATGGTCTCTCCAAAACCCTGAATTATAGTTCTTTCTGGATCATCCCTCACTAAAACACAAGACCTCTGAGATCAAAACTTTTGCTAACAAGCTTGCTGAATTAGAATGAGGTTGGGGGCACTTGATTCGAAGATGCCAAGAGTGAATTTAAAAAAAAAAAAAAAAAGACTGAAAGAACACCTACAAATGTTAATAAATTGACCAAATTCTCATTTTTCTTATCACAGTCTCATTTAAAAGTTCAAGCTTTATGACCTAGACTAGACCACAGAATCCTAACAGTCTTGTACATACAGCTCAAGCAACAGTGGCTGATTTTGCCAGAGTGATTTTGAAAAACCTCCTGAAACCAAAAGCAGGGCAAAGAATGAATCTATTACTTGTGCAAACACTGCTGCACCTATGCTAGGGATTGAAAATGACTATTTCATAAACAAACCTCTGAATCAAACCAACTGGTAAATGTTACTCTTCCACTGATTCCAGTCTCCTTATCTTTCAAAGGCTTTTTTTGGTACAGAGAAATACAGCATTAATTACCTCAATGTAAAACAAATACAGTATTACTTTAACATTTAAAAAAAAACAACACAGTATTAATTACCTTAAAAAGAAAGCTTTAATATAAATTTATTAAAGAAATCACCAAATGGATCATTGCTGTTTTTCTGCATTTTCTCAGTGCCTGTTGGGGGGCAGTTGTTTATTCAGAGTTTCACCCATCCCAGGGTGATATTCCAATGAATTAATTAGATCTTCCAAACAGGAAGAGAGGCACTGCCCAACACTCTTTTGATGCTTCCTTCCTCCCTAAAATGAAATCTGCCTAACCCAGAGACATCAGTTGCCATCTCCATAAAGCTCAGGATGTCTTTGTCCTCTATTCTTACCTGTCCCCTTAATTCCAAATTGCACCCCCCCCAAAAAGAGAAAGAATGAAAGACTTAGATAGAAAAATAAAAATAACAACCTTCCCTTGAGTACCTGAAACTGGTAGTTAACAGAATACCTACCAATTCGCCTGGACCCGGGACACACACACATTCTCCTGTCATCACAACACGGAGCCGACAACATCCACACCCAGCACGGGCAGCAACAGCAGCGACAGCAGCACCGGCCCATTGAAAGCAAGGCAGAGATTAATAATATTAGAGAGGGAGGTGGAGAAGCAAGGGGGAGGAGGGAGAGCTCCGGCTAGTGAATGGGGAAGGAGGGGAGGAGGAGGAGAGGAAACCAAACAAACCCACACGGAGAGAGTGGGGAGCAGAGCAATAACAAGGGGCGGCAGGCACAGCAGACTTGCGGCCCCCTCCCCACATTCAGGGGTGTCCAGGTACAGCAGAGAAATAATGCTGCAGCATCCACCAAACAGCACCCCCCGAGCCCCCCATCCCCTGCCGGCGTAGGTGCCCCCAAACCCAGCCACGTCCACGACGAGCTTTGAATGCACAGCCAGACCTGGACCAGCACAAGGTAGGGTGGGGGGCACAGGCACTGGGAAGCCCACGGAGGGACAGGTGTAAGAGAGGAAGGGATTAAGCCACACACCGAGCAAGGTCCGGAGAACAGGGCACGCAATCTCCCACTGACTCGCATGAGACCGAGGGGCCTATGAATTCCGGGGCTCTGGCCCCGAATTCCTCCCACATCCCGCACCACATTCAGCGCGTTGGCATCCGAGAACTCAGGTGGCGCGGGAGGGTCTGCGTGGGGTGCGCGGCGCTCTGCCTCGTCTCCTCGGGGCTGCGGAGCTGGAAGCACTCGCGCTCGCTCGCTCAGCTCTGACATACGCTTCCTAGCCTGCCCACGCACGCCCACGCCCACGCCCCCGTGGGAGCACACGCACACTCGGGTCCCACCCCCTTAGACGCATTCCGGAGGGAGGGCAGGGCGAGTCCTCCCCCTCCAGCACACCTGGCTCCTCCGCCCATCCCCACGGGTATGACCCACGCCCGCTCGGTGCCCCCCTCCCCCGCTGCCTCCCCACGCACGCCCGCTGCCCCGGCTCCGGGCAGCCCTGTCCGGCGAGGGTGGCTCGGGAGCGCGGGCTACGCACCGGGCACGTCCGGGGAGTCGGCTCCTCTCCCTGGGGAGCAGCAGCTGGAGGGCGACAGGGGCGGCTCCGGCTCCGGCGGCGGCTCCCGCGCCTTCTCTTCCCCGCAGCCCGAGGCGCAGGTCCCGGGTACTCGGGCCCCAGCCCCCGCCCTGTCCCCAGCCCCGGCCCCGCTCTGGCACCTCGCCGGGCGGCCCCGAGCCCCTTCTCGCCTCCCTATTGGCTGCGGGGCGGTCGGGTGGGTGGGTACAAGGAAGGCGGGCGTGGAGCCGGGAGCAAGCGGAGAGGGAGGGGTCGGGAGGGGGCAGGCGAGGAAGGCGGGGGGAGGCCGGCAGAAGGGGAGCCGAGGAGGAAGGGCCGCGTTCTCTCCCCGCGGGCTTTGTGACGTCACGGGGGTCATACAATCCCTTCCATTCCGCGCCCGCCTCCCATTGGTGCGACTTCTTCGGGTTCACGTGACCGCCCCTGAACGGGGCGGAGGAGGCGGGGCGGTCACGGTCACGGTCACGGTCGCGGGTAGCCTTCGAGGGCTGAGGGTGGGCCCCGGCTCGGGCTTTGAGCGTCTGAAGGCTTCGCGGGGATGACGCGACGGTCGAGCAGGAGCGCTTGCTGCTCAGCATCCTCTCAGTCCAGGGAGGGTTCCCGGGGGGGAGCCGCGCCAAGCTGGGCCCGCCTGCGGCCGGTGGGCCCTGGCCGCCGGCCAGCCCCATCGTGCCTCCAGAACACCCCAGCGCTCCAGAGCACCCGCTCTAGAACCCGAGGACCCGCCGCCCGCACCCCCGAGCGAGACCTCACCACCCCCTCCTCGGGCCTCAGTCTTGCCTTCCTATAAAATAAGTGCTTGGACTCAGTCGTCCACTCCGTACCAAGTACAAGCCCCTACTTGCAAAGACCTTACATTCTAATAGGGAGACAAGTTGGAAGTTATACATGGGTAACCGGGGCTGGCACATCACATCCTCACAGCTTATTCTCTCTCTCTCTCTCTCTTTTTACCATTTAATTGTAGAGGGTGTGTACATATATAAAGATAGGCTCGTATATGTATATATACACTGAAATAAAATGAGATAAAGTTGGGCACTTTGCAAACAAGCATTATATAAATGCCTTATGTTTTTGTGTGTATAAATAGATAAATACATACACTAAGACTTTTGGGAAGCCTTAGGTGTATAAAGTTGGAAAGCAACCTGAAACATCTAGCCTGGTCCAGTCATTATATGGAAGAGGAAATGGAGGCCCAGGGACTTTAGGTAGCTTGATACTTGATACTGGAGCATTCTCAGTTTGTTTGTTTTTTTAATTCAGTTGTTCAACTACAATGAGTGCAGCACCATAGGAGGCAGAGTAGCTCCAATGATTTATGGATGATGAAATTCCTGACAGGGGTGGTGGTTGTACTTTAGGAATCACACCTTTTCTGAAAGTCTTTAAAAATAGGATAGTATCTTAGTTGTCTAGGGTGGTTTGGGGGGGGGTGCGGTTTTTATTTGAACTGGATGTTATCTCAAGGTCATCACTTAACTACTTCAGGAGTTACAACTCCTTTAAGTGTCAGTAGCAAGGTTGGAAAGTTTACTTAAATGAAAATCCCATTTTAAGAGAGGATGATCACCCTGTGAAATCATTGAGAGAGGCTTCATTCATTTGATTACTTGGAAATAGTATCCTAAAACTTAATTGCATTTATTCACCTTACTGTTAAATAAACTAAAAGCAAGCCCCATTTAAATAAATCTGTTTACTAATAATATTAGAATTGTCAGAATATGTCCTGTTTCACAAGAATCATAGTAAACATACTACTCCCTTCCCTAATCAGTTCAGTCTCCATCAACACAATAACTGCTTCAAAATATCACTCTCTCCTAGCACCCCTCAGGTGAGGACTTCATACTTCACTGAAAAAAAAATGAGGCCATTTGCCAAGAACATTCCTTCCTTTCCTCATCCTTGTAGCAATCAGACATTTTCCACTATCTTTTCCTTCATGTGGATGCCAAACCCAACCTCTACCTACATTCACTGTTTATCCCATTCCCACTTGTCTTTTCAAGCAGATTGTCTCCACTCTTCCCTATCTCCTGGCTTCTTCCCTGCTCCCTACAAACATGTCTTTACCTTGCCCAGCCTTAAAAACAAACAAAATCTCAACTCTCACTTGATCCTATCGTCCCTAGTTATCCTACAGCTCACCTCCCCTTTGTAGCTAAATTCCTTGAGAAAGCTCCCTACACTTGATCCCTACTCTTCTCTCACTGTCTTCTAAACCCTATACAATCTGACTTCTGATCACATCATGAAACTGAAACTGAAAGTTATCAGTATCTCTCAATTGCCAAATGTAATGGCCTTTTCTCAAGCCTCATCCTGCTTGACTTCTTTAAAACGTTCTTCACCTTTTGCATATGCTCTTCTCTATAGGTTTTTGTGAGACTGTTCTTTCCTGATTATCTGTATGACCTCCTCTTTGTTGGTTCTCCATTCATACAGTGCCTACTATATATGGGTGTCCTCCATGGCTCAGTCACAGGCACTCTTCTCTTATTATTCTATATTATCTTACTCAGTGACTTCGTTAGCTCCTATGGGTTCAGTTATCTATTATGCATATGATTTCCAGATTTATATATCTATCCCTAGCCTCTTTCTTTATAGTCCCATATCACTGCCTCTTGGACATCACAAACTGGATGTTCTTTAGTCATCTCAAATTCAACATGTTGAGCAGAAGCCTATACCCCTGCCCTGAGCTATCCTTCCTTCCCCTCAACTTCACACTTACTTATTACCATCCAGGATACCACCATCTTCCTCATCACTTGGCCCTAAACCTCAGTATCATCCTCCATTCCTCATTCACTCATTCCATATAGCCAATATTTCTGCTTTCACAACATCTCTATCATATATGTTTCTTTCTCTCCACATACAGCCACAACCTTAATTCAGGCCTTCGTCACTTCTAACCTAGACTGTTGCAATAACCTGATAACTGGTCTGCCAGGCTCAAGTTTCTCCAAACCTAAGCTGCCAAGGTTATTTTTCTAAAACTGACCATGTCATCCCCTATTCAGGTAGCCCAGTGGCACCTTATTGCAAGATCAAACATAAATTTGTTTAGCATTAAAGCTGGTCGAAACCTTGATCCTTTCTATTCAGTGTTGTTACACACTTTACTCCTCTTCACATGCTGTATGGGCCACCTACACTGGCCTACTTGCTGTTCCTCAAACAAGGTACCCCTTCTCTCACTTTTATGCCTTTGCATAAGCTGTTCCATATGCATCACCTCTGACTCAGTTCCCCAGGCTTCCAAGACTTAACTTAAATCTTACCTTCTGTAGGAGGTATCTCCTGATTCCCTCACTCCCCTAGCCTCCAGCTACTCCAGCTATAGCCTTCCCTCTGAGATTACCCCTCCCATCTATTCTAGATGATACATACATGTGTACCTAATTATTTACCTGTCTCCCTCATTAGAACGTATGCTCTTTCTGGGCAGGGACTGTTTTTTTGCCTTTTGTATACCCAGAACTTACCACAGTGCCCAGCAAAAATACATGCTTAATAAATACATGCTGATGTGGTTGACAAGAATCTAGTAGTTACAATTATCTAGTTTATTTAATGCTACTATGAAGAAGGCACCATGCTTTGTTTGAGGGATTGAAAAGACCAAAAGAAAAATAGTTCCAGCCCGGAAAGAGTTTGCATTATTATTACTGGGAAGGTACTACATGCCAACAACTAAGTAAATACTTAATTGTTGGAGGAGGAAGGAGAGAATACTAATATCAAAGGGGTCAGGAAAGGTTTCACTAAGGAACTGAGTTTTGAAAGAGGCAAACTTGAGAAAGCTGTCCTCAAAGCCAGAAAAACTGGGATTCAGTCCCATCTTAGACTTACACTGATTGCATGACCCTGGACAAGTCTGGGCAGCTGTATGAGAATTAAATTTAAGGGAAAGTGCCAGCTGTACTGATAGCAGGAGTTTCCTCAATTGAGAATTCCCTGGACTAGTGAAATCTGAAATTTTGTCCCGTCCTATGGATGAAAAAGAAATGAATAAAAAAAAATCGACTCAAGTCCCAAGCAACATACGTGGAATTGAAGACCTTAGTGCTCTTCTGAGTGGCTTCCTCCACAAAGCCTCCATGGATAGCTTAGAGAAGATCCTGTCATCGTCTTCCTTGCCCACTTCCCCCCATATTCTCTCTAAAGGTCAGTATGGAACTCCCACTGCTGTTCCACCTCATCACCACAATTATAAACATACCTTTGTATCTTTGTCCGTATCCCCTTACCCATGAAATTATTTCATTTAGTAGTTTAGTTTTATTTTAACCAACTTTATATTTGCCCCATAGCTGTGTATTTCTGTCAGTGTATTTGTATTAGAAGGTGCCAAGAGAACAGTCAGGTCCAGAATCATAAGCCATAGGAACATAGAATGTCAGAGCTGGAAGAGATTAGGTCATCTAGTACAACCCCTTCTTGTTACAGATGAGGAAAATGAGCCCCAGTGGTTAATTTGACCTTGGGCAGCGTTGAAAAGCGTAATATGCAGAATAGGAAGTAGCAAGCCTGCTCTACTTTGCTTTTGTCAAAACACATCTGGAATATTAACAGCCAACAAAACTTCCAAACAATTGGAGAGGTCCAAAAGTGAAATGGGCTACACCCATTACCCTGATTTCTCATTACTGAAGGGCTTCAGATAGAGGCTAGATAACCACTTGTTGGGATTATTGTGGGGGATATGTACAAGTTGGATTAGGTTATCTCCAAGATCCTTTCCAACAGAAATGTTGAGATTCTGTTCCCTTCAGGGAACCAAGACAAATACTTCAAATTCTTGGTGAATGTGCCTTTTAGCCAAGAGATGGAAGAGATGACCCAGGGACTGATACCCATAAAGAAAACTGGGAAGGAGGTATTGGGAAAAACTGGAACTTTTGTCAGACTTGGAAATGGTGCCAGACAGAACTCACTTCGGGCTAAGAGTTTGACTAGCTTGGGTTATCTTCCAACCTAGACTGGCTAGAGGTGCAGAACTGAGATAGATGATTCATAGGAGCACTGGATTGGAGTCAGAGGACCCAAGTTCAAATCCTGGTCTGATCTTGGACAAATCCATTATCCTCCCTCTGGGCCTCTTCAGTTTCCTTGGGTATAAATGGAGTGGGTAGGACTAAATGACCTCTGAAGTCTTTAGCTCTGGATATACTATCCTTTCATGTCAATCTCTAGCTAAATTTTAATTTGACATAAAAAATCTATTTTCTGTAAATGACTCCTCGTGTATGTACCATTGTATTTTTGCACGCTTGCCCCTAGTGTTTTTATTTTTCTTTCAGTATAAATTCCTTTCAAACTCGTCCAGCATTGTTTCCA